CTGAATCTTGCCACGTTTCTCTCTTATATTATATTCATATGATGTCTTCTGTTTATTTTATATATTATTGTATTTTATTGTAACTTTGAACTGATCTGTCTAATGTGACTAACTTTGTATTCGTATGCTTATTTTATTTTGTATATACTTATTAAGAAATTTTATTTCTTTTGCGAAAGGATGTACCTATCCAAATTTCTAATATTTCCTGTTTATTTTATTCTAATGTTGCTATTTTAAATTACTATTATTATTATTATTATTATTATCACTATTGTTACTATTATTACTATTATTATTACTATTATAACTATTGTTAACTTTCTGCTCCATCACAAGCTTGGGCTTAAAGGAGTAGATATATTTCTTTATTTATACGATTTATTGTACATTTAAAGAAAAATTTAATAAAAAAAAAAAAAAAATAGGTACTTAGAAGAACAAGTTAAAAGTTTCAAGTACGCATGTTTAATATTTTTGAATAACAACAAAATAACTTAGATTCAATTTTTCATCTACTAACATTATATGATATATAGAAATGTGATGTAAACATTCAGTAAAAATGTCATGTACCATGGTTATTTTATTTTATTTACATCATTAAAATAAAATCAATTACCTATATTCATCCTGATGCTTTTGAAAATTACTGAGAATTTTTGATTTTGACCTGTCAAATACATTATACAAACTACTTATCTTGTAAACAGACACAAATAAAATCTAAAATATGTTCAAAACTACTTCATTGCAAAGTCACTGTGTTAAAATTGTTTTCTTGTATTGTAATGATTGCTTATATGGACAAATAATTCACATTGTCAAATGTCACATTGTTCTATGACAAATAAATAATAATAATAATAATAATACTTTCATTTTGTCATTATAACATTTTACAATTCAACAAAAAAACACATAAGAAGTGTAAGTAAATTAACATCATTTTGCATCTAAACTGAAAAAAGTAATAGGTACAGTAAAATATAATAACAGCTAGTTAACATTAAAATACATTGTCTCACTTCGAAAAAGCGTAAAGCTTGTCAATCGTAAGAAATTACTTATTAAATATCATTACCAACATATAAATATTACTTAAATAACAAAAAAAAAGAAAAAGAAAACATTCATAAATCACAACTACGTGTAACATTATCAAATTGATAATGTTTTTTTTTAAATACATTTTAAAGAATTAAATTTATGTAGTAGATTAAAAATTCCAAATTAAAAGGGTGAGCGGTGCTGAAGTTAGGGTTGAGATCGCACAACGGGGAGTATGGTACAATTTGTATACAAGATAATCGTGTGCAGAGGTTGATGGAAAATATGAATTACTAAAATCATTAGGACCGTTTGTACGCGTCCTTCCGCGAAAAGTGGGTCCAACGACCCCTGTTACTAGCAGGCCTTGTATCTCACTGAACTAATGCATGTTTAAGTAATATTATGCAGGGGGACTGTGGCTATGCATATGGGTGTAGGTCTCTTGGTGTTAGTGAAGGTCGTCCATTACAGTTATTATTTTATATTTTATATTTTGTTTTTAAAGGGTATGTGCATGTGTGTGTAAATGTATTCTATACTTATTATGTCCTAACAAATCTGATACATATGCATTTGAATTATATTAAAAATGTGCATGTATATGTGTACACTTCCCTTATTTGTAGTAAGTGCTGCTCTGTTGTACTTGCGGTGTGTATTTGTTGATATTCCCTCAGATTGGTGTTCAATACTCGATATCGCAGCGACAATACAATATGTATTTTGATTTATATGATTTTTGCAGAATGTTAAATACTTAACGCTATTTTCTATAGCCTTATGTGATTATTTGAGTATGAATTATGTAATGTTATCTATTGCGGATTGTGACTATTATCATGTGCTATGGAAAAATAATTTTATTAAACTAAAATTAAGCTGAACACATGGACATAGTAGACACTTGGACGGATGTCGAGAGACTAATTACATTTTGTGTTCTTAATCACATACACTGTTGTTACGACTTCCGGTACATAGGTACACACACACTACTAAAACGGCCATTATCATGGTCAACACGTGATTCAAACCCGGTCCTCATAGGTTTAAAGCTATTTCAACTTTCAAGGGAACATGACATGGAGGGTTAAATAAATCACAACGAGGGAGTCTACATATGACAACAGAAGAAGACAGCTGATGAAAAATAACACCACATTATAAAGAATTGACCATCGGAACGAGGATAGTTGGTCTTGAATAACCAATTGGTTGCCAAAATGCCAACCAATGAGAAACTCGAATACAGTGGCCAACAGATATATTATATACCAGTACAACGTCTGAAGAGAAACACTTCGACTCAAACCTTTAACACCGACTTGCAAATGTCGGAACAAAGCCTGAAGGAATTGAAGGAAGCTCAAGCTGAGCCTAGCTTGCATACGTTTCCACAAAGCCATATAGGTTATATATTAGGTCTCGAGGTCATATAGGCACCTTAATATTGAACATGTCTGAACGTATAGCTGCTTTTGTAACTGAGCGATACCAGAATAAAACGGATTTTATCAAAGCCAACAAATGATCGGACAAAAACAGGCTGTTTTGGCAAATGAAAACAACATCGTTTAAGCCACATGCTCCGTGGAAACCTGCGCAGATGACGCGCCTAACGATGTCGACCAGCCAATCGGGAGGAAAACCGTTCCGCCAAACTGGTAAATACACCTCCACGTTTGTCGAGATTCGAGACCGATCAGTATTCTTCAGCACTTCAAACCAACAACTACTGAACACCAAGTCACCAACAGACAGCCAAGAAGAATTGAAGCGGGAGAACCGACCAGAGAATTACGACGGCCAACTGCGTCGGACCAATTTACTAGCATCGCAGTGAACCACAGTTACGGCGACAACGATTCAAAATCCACAGACACCGTGGAAAACGGACAACCAGCCTCAGCCTCGCATCTCTACTCACTAAACGACAACCACTCGGGGTAAACGGTTGTCGGGAACGCTCTCGGCACAGTGCCGGTCGCAGTGAATCAAGAACCCGCAGTGCGTCGGGTGTGTCGGTCGTGAAACCGCAGACAGCGACTGAGACGAACCTGAGGTGTAACCGTTCTCCTTCTATACGGCTGATACCCGAACAGTTATCACGCGAAACCATAAAACGGCTCTTTTCGGGGCCTCCAAATCTTAGTCCTCCCGAGCGCATCACCCGCCTACGTTCTTATCCCGATCGGATCCTGTATTCAGGCGCCACTTATTTGAGCGGAACGTGTTACACTCCTAATTGTACAAAGAACAAACATTCCTTAACTGTAAGCTAAGATCTCGCGCTCCGGGTGTACGATACTATCCTCCCCATATTTATATAATTTATATTATAAATAGAAATAAAGGACCAACTGATTACCTTTGATGACTAACTTCACCACCCGCGAATCCGTCTCACTTTTGAGAAACGTAATTGGAGAAGATTTTCGTGTTTGGCACATTGAAATTGTATACTTTCATACTAGTGCAAGTGGCTAATCAAGTCGTACAGACTACAAAACTATTGTTCAATTAAAAGACACCGCATAATACAATATTATGTAAAATATATCGCTGGAATATGGAGAAATGACGTGTATGCAATGACATAGCTATATCACACTAACAATTGTATTATTTTTATACTGTATATATTAAATATAGCTACAAGACATATACATAAATGAAATACATCAAGTATTTGTATAACACATATTTTAATAATATCGTAATTATTAATTGATATGACTTCACTCAATACAACTCAGCTCTTCTTAAACTTACGATAAATCCAACCATTAGTCATATTATGATACTGGAGGTCGGTGCCACTGAAGGTCAAATAAATTAAAAGCTTGGGTTGTATATTATAGAATGGTTTTGTATTCTATGAATTACACATTATTGTAAACCGAAATGTGTATATATATAATTATAAAATACATTTTAAGTATTTATTGACTGATATTGGTGTATAAATTATGCATAAATAATATTAATAACTAGCGAGCCTGATGTGGCTTGGTGGTTGCCGGGTTGGCCGCAGTCACTAATGTGTGGTGTCCGGCGTCGAAGGATCAAAGAATAGTGACCACTCGGCTTCTTAGCGACAATTCATTAAGGCAAAAAAAAAGATACAAGTTCCGACCTTTCTTACTTGTAATATGTACATTGAAACTCCACCACTGTTAAGACCTTGCTTATGTAAAACTTAACGATATAACTACAAATAATAATAAAAAAAATAACAGTTTTAGAGAACGCTATAAAAGGTCATAGTAATGAATTCATATTAGAATTATAAGCAGAATTCTTTTTTTCACAAATTGCATTGAATTATTTTAGTTCACAGTTCAAAATATTATAACATGACATACCGAGTTCATAATAATAAAATATTTTATGATTATTACTACTGTGACAAACATTAATTATGATTTTTCATTTTTGACGTAATACACATTATAATTAATATAATTTGTTTGGACGATTACTATTCTAAACATTATAAAAATTAAAAAGTACCAAGAAATTATATTAATTATTTTACTGTTATTTGAATTTTTTACTGGTGGAGCTTACATGAACCAATTTAATCTTTTTTTCCTGGCAGAGCTTACACAAAAAAAGGTTAACTCTTGGTGGAACTTACATACACTCCTAACCATAACCCTCACAAAAACCCAATGGCACTTCATTTTGCTAAAGATAAAACAAGATAAATAATAAATTAGTTAACTGAGGCGCCATCTATAAAAATTATATGTTGCTATAAAACATTTCAAATGAACAGGAAACAGTCGACAACTCAAATGAACAGCGATAGGTTGATGCTTGCACCAATATTGTGTCCATATTTTAAGTTACATTTTAAAAAATCCAATATTTTCTTTTTTTGTTTTATACCAGACGATTAATGACGTTCAAATAATATTATAGACTAGCAAGTTTTTATATTACAAGTATGTAAAATATTTTAAGTAAATCTTGACAAACCATTTAAAATATTTTTAGAGGCAACGAGAATAACACAATTTTCTTTTAAGGTTTGTACAAGTATTGCATTTATATTATATACGATTAACCGTACGGATATATTTGTTAATATACCACCGAAATATTCATTATATTATTATAGTTTATTGTTCAACAGTTTATTGATAGTTTGATGATGGACATTCAGAACGAGAAGAACCAAGTTTTAAACATTAAGTTGACCAAACTCATAGGTCTGTATCAAATTTTAGATCCCGGAACCTTAAAATGTCGGGGTCGAAACGTCTATCACATTGTCCTGGCGTTCATTGTGGTGTACATGTTTCTCATTTCGATGATGTTCAACATCAGTGGTGCATACTATTGGACGGACAATAAACTTATGAGCGTAGATTATTTTTGGAAAGCGGAAAACACGTTGTTCCTAATCTACAAGATGTGTATCATTGTCTACCACTCGGACGACATATGGGACGTATGTATGTCGATCACGCGATACGATTTTACATCGTTCAGCCACCGGGACAGACACATACTGGACCGTTGGCGAGAACGTTCGGTTTGGTTAACCACTATGTTTACCATTATGTATTCGTCGACGACGGTTTTTTACTTGGGCATTTCCTTGGCATTCCGTAATTATACATTACCGGTAAAAAACCACGACGGTTCGATAGGGTTTTACTGCCAGAACGTCATGAATTTCTATTTCATCGCATCTGATGAAACGTACAACACACACTATTTTACGTTTTACTTTGCCGAGGCGTTATTCGTCAGCTTATCGTTTATGTCATACGTCGTAATATCTACACTTTTGATTACACTGTGCTTTGCCATGTGCTGCCAGATGCAAATGATTTACAATGCGTTTGAATCGGTCGGGCAAAAATTGATTTGCGACCCTCATTCCCCGATTGGTGAGTACCATTCTTAATAATTTACCATTTAGTAGTATTTATTTAGCTCGCAAAATTTAGATATTCCAGAAAAATGTGGGTTTAATTTTAATATACCATCAGTGAAATATACGATTTAATATATTGTACTCGGGGTGATTTTTCGTTTGAGGAGATTTCCGTGTTATGTGGAATCTGTTATAACTAAGTCTAACATTTAGACCTTCTTCTGAGAAACTAGTTTTTTCAATTTACAACTAAAACTCAGTGGCAACGATTTCAGTATGTCTTAATTTACTTTTAGAATGTTTTCGTTGACCAAATGAGTTTGATTAAAAAATAAACCGATATAAAGTGTTAAAAAACCCAAAATTAGCTCTCACATATTGATATGTACTAATACTATTTGCATATGATCATTATTGTTATTTATACTTGTAGATAACACAGATAAAAAAATAAATGTACCTAATGAACACGATTTAGTATATGTTGAATTAAAAACAATCGTGATGGATCATCAAGCAGTTATGGAGTAAGAGTTAATTTATTTATTTTATTGAATTATAATGAATTATAATTTAATTTCAAAATTGAAAATATATCTACGTTCATATAAACGAATTAAACAATTAATATATTACCTAAAAAATTATCATAAATTCATTCAGATTCCAAATATATTTTTTCCGAAATAAAAATCGGAATACGGATGTGGAGGTGAAATACATGTAAAATTGAATAGGGATAATTAGTCAAATAATTTCGTTTATAGTTTCTATACGCTATAATACTTATATAATAGGTATACAACATGGAGATAAACTTTTTATGTGTGAGTTTACTACGTATATTTCGGATTGAGTGGTGCTTCCATACTTTTATCTTTAGCTTTCGTATGTGTTTATAGTCATAACCTTAATTTTTTTTTTCAGGAAATATGAACATTTTTTAAACATGTTTAGACTAGTGATACTGTCCCAAATTTTCGTATCGTCTGTATCGATCATCACGCTTTGGTTTCTGTTCATAATGGTAAGCAAATTACGTAATCCTTAGATTTGTTAACAATGCTATTATTATACTAAATTAATTTGATTTCATATTAGTCCTACATATTTATTCAGACATTTGAGAAAATTAATTATATCCAACGATATTTTTTAAATCAAATAATTTATAATTGCTCTTCCATAACATGTTTTAAAAGTTAACATACAGATCATACGTACTTTTTACATGACGTATCGTATGATTTTATATTACAACCCAATACGATAAATGCACTAGTATTGTACAAAATATGTAGTACTGCTATGCAATGAAAGAAAACATTTTGCTATTGCATAATATTTTCATAATGTTAATAGTTACCACACTTGCTAAATACTTAATAGTTGTTAAAGTTAATCGAATATATCGACTATGATTAATCGGTTTAAATTATGCAATATTTATTTTTATACTAAATAAAATAATAATTTCATTTCACGTGTACTGTCTACGTAGTATTTTGAATTGATGATTTATCTGTTGTGAATGATTTCAGAGTTTCTCCAACGATGATAAATACAAGGATTCGGATAGTGTATTCAAAAAATGTGTCTTCATAACTCTAGGAATATTGTGTGAAATATTTATTTTGTGTTATCTCTTTGGCAAATTGCATGATCAAGTAATTTAATACACATTATTGTTTATTATTATTTATAACTATTTAATCAGATATGTACATAACTACACCAAAATAATTGGTTTTATTCAAATTGATTAAGTTGAGATTTGGGTTGATTACTTCAATTTACGAGTATATTATATATTATTATAGTATGGTATGGTATAATATAATATTATTTATTCGTTTATTTAATATCAAAATAAAAAAAATATGTTATTTGTATTAATAAAAGAAAAATATCAGATTCAATGAGTTGTAGGATCCCATGTTCAAACTTGCTTAATGAACATCCTTTTTTTTTATTAAAGAAAGATTCAATAATATTCGGGTTGTATAGCAGTAATTGGACTGAAATGGATATGAAGTGTAAAAAATTAATATTATTGACAATGAAAATGAATAATGCTAACCAAAAAAAGTTAAAGTTTACTAGAACGAAAATTGTAAACTTGGAAATGTTTTTTAAAGTAAGTATTTTTCTCTTTAGTCATTAGGTACTCATTATTATTTAACTAATATAATAAAATTCTATTCAAATGCGTTTACAGGTATAGAATAATTATTCGATCCTCATCATTTACTAGTTAAATAAAATAATTGAAAATTTTTTTTTTTTTTTAATTAAATATAATTTAGTACCTATAAATAGGACAGTTTAATTTTTTTGAACTTCTCTCAGTTTCAGCGGCTATTATAACATATTTTTCGTCTTTAACGAGAATTTATGAATCGTAAATATGTTTTTATTTTTAAGTAATAGTGGACATAAATTAACCGTATTGTATAGGTTTATGGTAAATGATTATTTATATTTAATTTATTTTTTTAAATAATTTTTAGTATATTTTTTTTTTTTGAATGGTTAAATTGTTAAACTATTTTATGAAATACTATAAACATAGATGACGTGTAGGTTTGTGGAAAATAATTAATAACCTTTATTATTATTTTTTTTTATTTCAGACAATGAGTGATTGCTATTCGATTATTTCGGTTTTAATAAATTGTATCTATAGAAATGTTAAATAAATGTTGATCATGTTTATTTTAGATTTAGTAAAGTCTTACATTAATTATTGTTCTTAGTATCAGATTATTAACTAACGAGTTTAAATATTTTACTATACACCTAGTGCTTATGACTATTTAAGTTGCTTATAAATTATAAGTTATAACATAATTATATTAAATAGAAAATTATGTTATATTATAACACTTTATGCAGATTTTATAAAAAATAATAATTATCAAAATAAACTAGTTAGGTATTAGTATATATTGTTTTGTAATAAATTTAATTCGTGTAAAAAAGTCAAGTGCAGTGTACTGCTCTGCTATACTTTAGGTTTCGTGGGAGACAAAGTAATATTGATGTTTACAATTTATATTAATTAAATGATTTAAAATCATTGTATCTCAGTTCGGTGTTGACCTGCAACATGGTCTCATGTTTGTGCGATTGTTCGCTCCGTTATCGCTAGTTTTAATTATGTGAACAGTTCACGGGTTTCACTCTATTGGACGCATTTTCATCCAAAAATGGATAACATCACCTCTTCGAAAATGTTAAAACCCAAATGGTCGCTACCATCATAACTAATTTCCCAATTCACGTATCCAAATGGTACATAAAAAAACCAAGTCATATGTTTTGTCAAATATATTGTCTGTCATGTCGAACGATGAGGACAGTGAAATCAAATCTGACACTTCTTGTGATACTTCTAATATAGTCGACGGATGTTGTACCATTCACCAACAACAGGACAAAATTAGGGCTCCGTCAATCTATGTCCAAAACCTAATCAATTACTCCGCTTTCAAAAACACATTATTACAAATCGCCGGCCCTAACGTTTTCACATGCAAGTCTATGTCTTCTTTTCTGACTGTTCGTCCTCATGGTCGCCAAATATTATCAAATCAGCAAAAACATTGCATTACAAATGTCACTATGTGTAAAAAATATTATTATATAGTATGCACTTATATAAATAGTTGAAAGTTAAAAATTTCAAGTACTCGTGAATAATATTTTCGAATAACAATAGAAATACTAAAATATATGTATTAGTTAATACTAAAAATAATTTTGTACACCAGTAAAATAAGAACGATTACCTACCTAAAGTTTTCCTGACTTTTTTGAAAACTAAGGAGGATTTTCGATTTTAAAAATAGACATATTATAATATTGACATATTTAAACATTTTACTCAAATCGTTTCCAAATATTTCTATAATATTGTTGTATTTTAAAGATAACAAATAAAATAATATTGCTTGACATTTATTTTAAATTACATAAAACAATTTAAACATTTAACATTTTTTATATTTAACGAGACTACGCTAACTATAGCAGTATAACCAGTTACGAGAGAGACTAACTTACACACGGAGTAACGAATATGATAAAAGTACAGTGTTACCTTAACATAACAAATATGTGTGATGAAATATTTGTCGAGTGACTTTTTAGATATTTTTAAAATATTAGTATTTTAAAATTGCTGTGCACCACAGCAATTACATGTTATATGTTCAAAAGGGCCCAGCCCGTAAAATTAATATTGAATAAAAATCATTATTTCCTAAAGCCCAAAATGGCTTACGTAGTGTAGGATATATAATATCAAAGTATTTTTAAATTTCCATCTGTTTCACCACATTAAATGTCTTCTTTCATTATTATGTATAATATTGATATCATTAATTCGTAAGTTAAAAAGAAAATTATGTGGATAGTGCAGAACTGTACAATATATGTATATATATATATAGAGAGAGAGATTTATAAACCTATTCAATCAACCCATTCAATTAAAATTGAATTGTATAAATATATTAAGACATTCTTTAAAGTTCTAAGTATCTATATGCAAAACACAACTATTAGCCCTTTATTGAATTCATAATATAATATACATATTATAAAGGGACTACAACTACATTTTTTCAAGTGTAGTTCTTCTTCATTAGTTATACAAAAATGCATAATATTATGAAATTGTACGGTTGCATTATTTTATGGGTGAATTTTATAAAACCGAATGTTAACATGCTATGTAATATATAATGGGTATTCTATTGCATGACAATAATTATTATTATAAACCTATAATATCCCTCACGCATAAGTACAATTTCAGTTTTTATTAAAGAAGAAACCTTCGATGAAGTGACCATTGGCTTGTTTTACACAGAAGTTGGTACTTAAGATGCTCAGGTATGTTGTATTTTTGTAGGGCCACTTGCGTGTCTCTACAATCTGTAAATATGTTTTTTTTTATCAAGGTTTGATATCATCGTGTAAGGCATGTTCTTGGTTTCTCTTTTCTTCATGAGATGGCCCATGTGTGTAGTGTGTATGACCTATTCTGAGGCGATTTAATGCAACTTCGTCTCTCCTTTTGAGAGGACATTGGGTTATTCCATTTTTCTGTTGTACTTTTTATTTCGTTTAATTTAGTGTTCATTTTTAGCCATTCGTTTTGCTCTTTATTTTTAACTCAGTCTTAGATCATTTTTTTATATCTTTGTCTGGTTTTATATTCCAAAGGGTTCGTTGATGTGGGTTATTTTCTTTTTCCTTGGCAAGTATGTTCGCTCTTTCATTACTAGTTATTCCGCAGTGCCAGTTTATTAAAGATTATGTTATTGTTAAATTTATTAGTCAAGTTGATTATTTTCTTAACGATAACGTTATCATTATTAATATTACGAATACTAGAATATGAAGTGCTCATGGAGTCACTCTGTTAAAATTATGTACTTTTTTGTTTCGCTAGTTGGCATTTATTATATAAGATAGGGCTTTATATAAAGCGAGTGCCTCAGATGAATATATGCTACAATTATCCGAAAACCTCTCAGAAAGGTCGGTTTTTTAATAACTGCAGAAACACCCACCCCTTTATTTGTTTTTGAGATGTCTGTTTATATATATCATATATGTATGTGGTACGGTAATTTGTTTATTACTTCATAGAATACATTTTTGTGTGTATGATTTGTGGTTCCTTTTTTATTGTAATACTCTATTGATATATCAAATGAGTATTTTGTTGTTGTCCATTGAGGTTTTACGATTATTTCTCTAGTCAATAATATATATTTCTTTTCTTATTTGAATTCTCGCTCTTTCTCCTTAATCCTTTTGTACATAGGAATTAATTGTTTGTTTTTATTAAAAGTGTTTTGAAATAAGTTATTGAAAACTGTGTAAAAAGTTGATTTATTCGGGTCGGTTGTTGTTCTCATTGAGCACTGTAATATTACTATATTAGTCAATTTCTTCGACTACTAAGTGGATGTTCTCCAGTTATATTATAAGTAATATTATTGAATTAGGATCACTTTTATGTATATTATGCAGAACAGTTCTTAGTTACAAATGTTTGATTATAATAATTTATAATATTGTTATCGGATCTACAATAATGCATGAATATGAACAAAAGATAGAACAATTTTTTTGATACATTGTTCATTGTCTTTCTGGTAGCATTTCACGTTGTATTTGATATCATTATTGTGACTGTGTGCTTGGTTTTGTTCTGTCAGACACAGCGTTCGAATCAATTGAGCATACATCGTTTTGCCACCCTCATACCTAAGTTATTGTGTATGGACGTATGCACAGCGTAAATCTAGGACAAAATATTCTGTTCAAAAATATCCGGGGACAAAATAACAAATGAATAATATCATGAAAAAAATATCCGAATAAAAAAAAAATAACTTATTTCAAAGAGGAATAATAACAAAAACAGTTTAACTAGGTACATTATTAATTTAAAATCATATTTTAAAAACATTTGTTAATTCTCAAAATAAAATAAAAATAATAATATAGTATATTACATAAAATAATAATTATATCTTTAGTTATCGATGTTATACTATATCGTTATAGGTATGATAAGTGAGTTCAAATGAATTTTAAATATAATAGTATAAAATTATACTGAAAATGTACTTAAGTAATTATAAAGATAATAATAAACAATTCATATAAACGATTTCTCTACAACAAGGAGAACTGAGAGATTGTCTTTTACATTACCTTCTAATATAATTTATATTTTTGAAGATAAAACTAAGATTCACCACTCTCATATTGAAATTGAAGTCTTATTATTTAGATAAGTCACAATTGCGGGGAATGTAAAACAGGGATCAAAATGTGATATAATATACTAATTAACTTAACGAGTTTAAAAAAAACAGTAACTTGCCAAGCCTTGTATTTTGTGAACCAAGTTATGAAGTGAAAGATTATCTGGGTAAAACCATTTCAGAGATAGATTTGTGGCTTCAGAAGTTATAACACAAAATGGCTGGCAGAATTCCAATATGCCTTTTTCAAATATAATATATGGTGTGTTATTTATTTGGAAATTTCCATAATCAAGTAATTGGATTTGCATTATTTTTTAGTATTTTATATTCGTTGAAAAAAATGTATAATGAATTCTTGACTCTTGTAACTAAAAATTATTTGTTTTCAAATTTAACAGAGGATTGAGATTTGCATCGAATAGTTAAATTAAGTAGCCAAAGTTATTATTATGTATTTTTAACACTTTAAATGTATCAATTTCTTATTTAATCAACAAACATGTGAACCACTATAAGTATAAACAATTGGTAAGTTAATTACAGTTCTTAATGAATCACAAAATAAATTAAAATGCAGCCTTCTGGGTACCGATCTTCTGTAGGTACATTTTGTGGCATGCATGTGTAAAGTTTGAAATCAATGAAATTAAATCATTGTATATTCAATTAATAATTAGTCAAAATTATATCAACAATAGACCAAAATTGGAAAAAAAAATGTCCAATATTACATTATGTAGGTGTTGCAATAACTATAATTCAATATTGAATACATGTTCATTGTTCATCTAATAATGTTGTTATTCGATCGATGAATTCATGAAGGTTTGTGAATAGCTACCTATTAAAATTATAATTTTCGGCTAACAAAAGGTAACAAAATGTGTTAAGTGTTTTTTCAAAATACATATAATATAGTATTAGCAATAAATAGGGTCTTAGTGGACTTTGGCCATAAAAACAAACTTCACTGTTT